GGAACACATCAGGCTATATTTGCTCTCAGTCTTAACATTTTCATGTAGCAAATTCCAAAATTTTTTGCCACTTTTCGTGCGGTCCCGCCTTTCCACAGTAAATCTATTATTTACATTTATGGTTTCTGATTAACTATGTTATTTACTCGTGATCACTTCTTCAATACAATACAATATAGAAGCAAGTCATCTGACTTCCAACTAAGTAAGAGATAACTGTCAAATGCAAAACTGAGAGTGAGTGCAAAACTGTAACATCTGCCTTAATTTACATTTTTGTCTGCTGGTTTTTTTATTGTTGTTGTATTGACTTCAAATCGTTATGAAAGAGGGAGTAGCGATATACCAACAGGAATATACAACAAAAGGATGAAAGCCGTTAGAACTTGGAAATATAGCGGTGGCTGAAATAAAAAGGGTTACACCATGTTACAGTTTTGCTCGTCACTGTATATGGCTAGTTACGTTTTATTCTTACCTCGCCTATTGTGTTCATTTATATTTATGTGTTCGTAGCAAAAGCGACCACTTGGGAACCTGCAAGGGTTGAATTTTTCTGAAATTTCTAAAAAGTGATATACTTTGGTTAAATAGATTTCCATACAAAGTTTGGCAGTTCATTTATCAAACTGATAAATTTATAATTTTATCAAGTTTATCAACAGTTTGTTTCTTTTTTATTTTATTACAACGCTTTTATCAACTTGCAACGTTGTGTGTCCAAACACCATTCATTGCTATAAAACCTTTCCTTGAAAGGATTATATAAAAGTCTAGACATCTACCTCGCCGCCTGGTATCATATCAAAACTCTGAAGGTAGTGACGCCTCGCCGCAAGTAGTTATATATTGCGCCTAGAAATATGCAATACATACGCTACATTGGAAATGGACGACACGCCATTCCTTTAAATGAAATTAATTGGTGCTCGTATGTATGTACATACATATATGCATGTGTGTGCACCAATCTATTAATACCATAGCTTCCAACTTGGTGCTTTAAGCACTAGATTTAGTGCTTTGTGAAAATTAGAACGCAAAAAAAAATTATGTAGTGCCTAGTGCCTTTTTTAGTGCTTTTTTGAACTAAAATTACTTCGAGATAGTTAAAACCTGAAATAATTTGAAATATTTAAAGCTGTGGCAGCACTAAATTTATAAGAATCTACAAATTTAAATGGACTAAAATCCAAACATGATTAATAAAAAAGCTGAAGTTGCAAATCCACCTTGTTAAATTCTATTCTCGTTGAAAATGCTAGTACGCAATTAAGTTAGGTACTTCTTTTTTTCTTTTCTAATCATTTGTACAGATTTTGTTTTTTTTTACCACCTGAATAAAACACATTGTTTCTTGGTGCTGAATCCAAATCTGGCCTCACAATTGCTCTAGCACTAGAATTTTGAGATATCCTAACCCCAAAGTGCCCAAAGCACGGTTTTTAGTGATATTTGAGGTTATATAATGAAAACATCAAATTATTTGCTCATTTCGAATTAGGACATCATTTTCGTTGCGATTCGAGTTTTATTTCTCCAGATATACCATATATAATGTGCAGTACTTCGGTATTATGTTATGAAAAAGCATCCCTTGATTCAAAAAAATATGGTGCTTTTAGTGTGGTAAAACGCTTTTTTTCCAAGTTTTTGGTGCTTTTTGAAAATCAAAAGATGGCAACACTGATTAATACCGTTGAATTATTTTAATATCTAGTACAGAGCTGGGCAATTTTTGCTCGCGAGCAACGCCAGCGTCGCAGTTCGTATACGTACACAGAAGCAAAGCAGCGAATTTCGGTTCAGTCTGCTTGCAGATTTCACCAAGGTAATATCATGGTCGGATGTGGACTATTTTTCTTCGTAATTTTAGCATGAGCTTGTCACATTTTGTGTAGAAAATTTACAAAATATCCCCAAAGCATAAAGTGGTGTGATTTTCTCAGATCGGTGTTTACATGCATTTGCGACGATTAAAACACAAAATAGTGCGTCCCTATATAAGAACTAGAGTTTGAACAATAAAGAACCTTCAACAAGCCGCAATATCCGTTATGCGGCTATGCCTACGTATTTTACAACGCTTTTATCAACTTGCAATGTTGTGTGTCCAGGAACTTTCAATGTTGTGGATCCAGAAACTTTCAATGTTGTGTGTCCGACACCAAAAAAAGCTTTGCTTTGAAAAGTTCATATAAAAAAGCATAGTGCATAGGGCGACATCTGTAGTGAATAGGGCGAAGTAGATGACATCTAGATGTCGCCCTATATACTACGTTTGCTACAGCGGAAATAGACGACGCGCCATTTCTTTAAATAAAATTAATTGGCGGGATTACACAATTTTTTATATTTTAAGACGTCCACCAAAATATTTCGGAAAAATATTAAGATTTAAGCGAGCTGGACCGATTTGAAAATACCTCCAAAAATGGAGTTTTTTTTATGAATAAAAATAGTTTCTTAAAGAACTTTTTGAAAAAAGTCCCCTCAGATGACAAAACAAATGAGGCTTAAAAATTCTGCATAAAAATATTTAAAAATCTTTTCAACGGAATCGTAATAATGAGATTTTTATACCCGAGCGCACTTGTGCACAAGGGTATTATAACTTTGTTCCCATAACGGTTGTTTGTAACAGGCAAAACGAATCGAGATAGATATAGACAAATGTTTACATAAATGATCAGGATGAAAAGAGAAATCGATTAAGCGGTGACTGTCTGTCCGTCCGTCCGTCCGTCTGTCCGTCCGTCTGTGCACACGATAACTCGAGTAAAAATTAAGATATCTTAACGAAACTTGGTACGTGTACTTCTTTCAGGCGTAGGACGGATGGTATTGAAAATGGGCAAAATCGGACAATAACCACGGCTACCTCCCATATAACGGTAATTTTCAGAAACACGAAAACTGCGATATTTTAGTAACTACTGAAGATTAATCACTCAAAATTGATATTTACAATAACTTTTAGACGAAAAATAAGAATATTATAAATTTTTGAAAAAAGGGCGTAGCCACGCCCACTTATAGTTATATGTGTATATCTTGGCAACCGCTGCACCGATTTCTTCCAAACTTAGCACAGTTGTTCGCCTTGGTACAGCATTCCAAATGGCTGAAAATTTTTAAAATCAGACAATAACCACGCCCACATTCCATATAAGGGTAATTTAGAGAAATACGAAATCTTCGATAAATCAGTAAATATTAAAGCTAACTTATTCAAAATTGACGCTCGCAACAATTCTTTACCAAGAAATATGTTTATGGTTAAATTTTGGAAAATGGGCGCGGCACCGCCCACTTATGACCACATATATGTATATCGGTAACCGTTCTATCAATTTGTACCAAACTCGGTATTTTTATTGTTCTTGCCACATAAAAGTAAACCATTGAAAATTATTGAAATCGGGCTAAAATTACGGCCGCTTTTCATATAACGGTAAATTTCAGAAATGCTTGAAACTGCAATATTTCGAAATTTAAAGACGCTAATTTACTCAAAATTGATACTCCCCGGTTTACCATGTAGGGGTAGCTTTCGCAAAGGGGAAAAACATGTATTTAATACTTGCGCCGGGTATTTAATGTTCGGCTCTGCCCGAACTTAGACTTTCTTACTTGTTGATGTTGTTTTTTTACTTTTTTCAAAGATTGATTTACGAAAAACTTAAATAACTGGACCAAAACTATTCTGATTTAGACTTATGGGATCTCGTTAGAAAGGATATTTTCCCACTATTTTTATTTATGTGCAAAAAAAGTCCTTCGTGTCACAGTACTTTTTTTCAAATACCAAGACATCTTAATTCAACTTTGAATGATATTCGTTCATCCTACCTTTCTCTTTCATCCATTGAATGAGTTTATCAGCAAAGAAATAAAAAGGGTGAGAAAGTACCTTTCCAATGATATCTCACAAGTCTAAATCGGGAGAGTTTAGGCTGAGTTATTAAAGTTTTTCTTATACCAATCTTTGAAAAAAGTTAAAAACAGCATCAAAAATCTCATTATTTCGATTCCGTTCAAATTTTGTTTTAAATTGTGTACATATATCTAACGCATTAATTAATGGCTGAGCCGTTCGGATGTGTCTACGCTAAGCTCTGTATTATTGCCGTGTATATGGTTGTTTTTGCGAAAGTTAAACGAAATTGTAATTTTACTTGAACACTTAAAGCATGCCTTGCACGTGTAAGCAAAAGCTCGACCGTGGTCGCCAGAAAATTCAGTGCGTTAAATGTAAAGAATTTTTTCATTTAAAGTGTGTTAATTTATCGGAAGCCGATGTTGACTTTTTGCATAAAACTGATCGTGCATTTTGCTGCTCATCTTGTACTAAAGTTCGGCGGGACTCACTTCGCTCTCCGCCTCCACCCCATACCGCGACCAAGCCTTTGTCGGCTGTGGATGTCTCTGCTGCTTTCGATGCCCATCAGAATGTTCCAGTAAAACAACAACCGCTGCCTGGCGAGTCGGCTGGAGCTCAGAAAAACAAACTAAAAGGGCATTCGAATAGCAATGAGTTGGAGTCTACCCTCAGTGTTGTTCTCAACGAAATTGTTGGGCTCAGAGCTGAGAATGCACGAGTGATCTCTTTGCTTCAATCTTTGGTTGATGAGAAACATATCTTACTTGAAAAGGTTGATAGTCTTCAAGCTGAGCTTCGCAAAATGCGAGATATGCCAGTTAACCAAGAATGATAGAATACAATATTGCGCCGATTGAGAATAACTTTTGTGTGACGTCACACTGGTGCAATTGTGAGAGAGAAATGCCAAAACGTGAGCAAGAATGGAAGAAGAAGAAAAAATGTTGCAAGGAAAACGTAAACAAGTTGCACAAGTGTGACGTCATGCAAACAACGATTCTGTCAAATTCGTTAAGAGAGGAATAGCGGTTCGAGATCGGCGCAACCTTGTATTCTCTCAATCGTGCCAGTTAACGCCGTGCCTGCTGTAAACATTGCTGATGCTGACTTGTCTATTATGCATAACGGATGCCCTCTCACTCTCACTCCGTCTTCTTCTTCGTCTGCCGCTCCTACTTCAATTGACGCCGTTGACGACGCTGCTAACGCTACTGCTACTGCTGGCGCTGCTGCTTCTGTGTATTCTGTCATGCCCGCACTTTCGCTTGCTGCTGCTGATAAACAATGCCCTACTGATTCGTCTACCAGATTTTCTACGGAATGCTCTCTTATTGCCGCTGTTGGTGTTGGTGCTAATACAACTTTGTCCGCTCCGACTTCTTCGTCTTTCAACTCTTACGCCTCGATGTTAAATTCTGAACAAGAGTCTGAATCTGCTGCAGCTAAAAATTTGTCTTCTCAGATTAATAATTCTCAGATTAATAAAGCTACGACGCCAGTTAATAGGCGAGCTACTCGACGGAATATTGTTGGTACCAACGCAAATACTGAACTTAAAGTTGCTGCTCGTATGCGGTGGCTGCATTTATCCTCATTTGAGTCATCAGTTATTGCTAATAGCATAGTTGAGTATGTATCTAAACATGCTAATATCAATAAGGGCCAACTGTTATGCTACAAGTTGGTAAAAAATGATGCTGATCTAAAGTCTATTACGAGAGTAAATTTCAAGCTTGGAACTCCAGACTCGTTCTATTCGAATCTTTTGTCATCTGATCTTTGGCCAGTTGGAGTAAATGTACGTCCATTTCTTTTTTGTTATAAAAGATGCTAAACAACAATATGTGCAATAGCTAATGTAGTTAACTCATCTCAAAGAAGGCACTTTAATATTTACTTCCAAAATGCTTCGGGGCTGAGAACGAAGTCGTGTGCGGTTAAACGCTTTAGCTCGCAGTTGGACTTCGATGTTTTCGTGATTGTTGAAACGTGGTTAAACAATGATTTTTTTGACTCAGAATTTTTTGACCCAAACCTGTTCGTTGTCTTTCGTAAGGATAGAGATTCCATCAAAACGAGTCGCTCAAGGGGGGGGGTGACGTCTTGATTGCGGTGCAACGCAAGTATCGCCCTTCGTTAATTACATTGGATAACGAAGATACCCTACTCGACCAGCTGTGTGTTAGTGTAAGTGGCTCTAATCTTACTGATAAATTATTTATAGTTGCCTCATATATTCCTCCAAATAGTGTTGATAGTCTCTACAGAGCTCACTCAGATAATATTCTATCATTAGTTACTGGAAAATTTGGTGATAATCATATTTGTATTTCAGGGGATTTTAATCATAGCAACCTTAATTGGTCGCAAAGTTACTGTAATTCGGGTCTTACACCTACAAATCTCTCAACTATTTGTGAATCTTATTTTATTTATAATATTTTAAGCCTGAACTTGCTGCAAATTAACACATTTAAAAACAAGCTCGATAGATTGTTGGATCTAATCTTTCTTAGTGACAATATAAATTTTAATCTGTCTAAATGTTGCTCTCCAGTCACGTCCTCGGATATGCATCATGTTCCTTTGGTTCTTAATGTAGAATTTTATGAGTTCACCTCTGGAACTTTAGTATATAAAATTGCCTTCAATTTTAAACGGTGTGATTTTGCAAGCCTGGACAGTTTATTTGCCGAGTTTACTTCTGATGATATCTTAAAAGGAATTTCGAAGCTCAAAAACTCATCGCAAACGGACTTTGATGGTCTCTCGGCTCTTAAAAAGTTGTCCCGCTCTGGTACTTCCGTTGAAAATGATCTTCAATAAATCTTTGTATTTTGGGAAATTCATTGATGCCTGGAAACTGGCTTCAATAACCCCTATATTTAAGAATGGCAACAAGAATGATGTTAGCAATTATAGACCTAATTCGAAACTCACAAATGTATCGAAGCTCTTTGAAATTGTCGTCAAAGGTAAAATGTTCCACAGTTACAAATCTGGCAGTATTTAGCGAATATTGCATCTCAGCATTTTCTTCAGGTTGTCAAGTTGATTGCATCTACACCGACTTTTCGAAAGCCTTCGACAAAGTTTCGCACATAGGGATGCAAATTTTGGGGAGTAGCATCGATACATCGATGATTCGATGCATCGGAAAAATTAATATCGATGCTAAAATACATCGCCAGAAAAACATCGATATATCGATGGTTTCCGATGTTTCAAAAGTTGTTAGGTTGTAGTCACATTAAAAGGAAAATTTAATACTTTTCAATTCAAACTATCTGTAATTCAATTAGAAATATACTTACATATGGATGTATTTCCCTGTATTTATTTACCACTCCATTACCCTTCCTATAAATAGAATAGAAATGCATGCCGTCGCACAGTGTTTCGACTATATGGAGGCAGGTGGAAATAATAGTAAACCTGCAACAATTTCACTGAAACTTGACATGTGCTCTAGGTTTACTTAGAAATTATGAAATTTGGTAAAGACGGAATGATTGCCACGCCTTCTACTCTTGTGGGCGGAAACATTAAATTTCATCCTATTTCGATGAAATTTAGTTTGTACTCACTTTTTTATTAGAAAAACCTAAATATGAAATATGGGGAAGATTGGATCACTATAACGTTCAAAAATCACAAAAAAATTTGGGCCAGTCGTTAAGTGTGATGGAATTTTGGTAAATTTTTGTTTCCTGCTTTTCACTTTCAGAAAACAAAGGTTATACTATAAATTGACTTAGGTGTAAATACTCGCTTTTTTCCAATGTTTGGTGAGATTTTTTCATTGTTCGAAAAATTCTTTTCGCGAAATTATGCAAAAAGAAATCTGAAATTTAGAAAATCAAAAATTACATATATTTGCAAAGTCGCGCGCAAAGATCAAATTATATATTCTAAAATCACATAAAATTCTCTAAAACAATTGTCTAATTTCAAGACCTGACACTTTTTTTACTAATAATCTTTAGCATCTTATTTCAAAGCAAATTTTTGGTAAGAAAATAGGAAAGTACCAAATAAATGATAAATACCTTCACCTGAATATTCCACGATATTTAAATAATGGATTATGGTTGAAAAAGAAACATTTTCTTTAATGGGTTAATCGCCAAAGGCAACTGATTACTCTTTGGAAATGTATCGTTCGTGAAGAAGGGGAGTGAGTAAATAATGTGAAATGTGGTATTTGTGACTTTTACTTTTCCCTCTCTAAGTCCAACTGGTGTTTTTTATCAACTGTCACCATGACTTTTTTGTATCTGCCTCCATATAGTCGAAACACTGTGCGTCGTAAGTCCGATGAGCCTAAGTTCCAGGGCCCAATTTCGGTGAAATTTCAACGGGATCCCGGTCCTTGTTTAATGACTAAGTAAGCATTTTTAGTATCGAAAGATAAGAGTAAACTCGGAATTTTTGAATGTTCCTCAAAAGAATAAGTAATAAAATTCATGGCCAGTCAAAAAATGTTGGGAGATAAGTCGATGTTAAAACATCGCTGAAACTGGCATCGATGTATCGTCAACTTAGCGATTTTAGGAAATTGTAAACATCGATGGCAAACATCGAATTTTGAGCCGATATTATCGATGTTTCAAGAATATCGATGCATCGTTTGCATCCCTATTCGCACATGGTGTTGATTGACAAACTCGCATGCCTTGGCTTTCACTCAACCTTTCTGCAATGGCTGAAGTCATACTTGTATCGACGACGGTGTGTTGTAACTGTGGATAACGCGCAATCAGAACCTTTTTTCGCTACTTCCGGAGCTCCACAAGGTAGTGTTCTAGGTCCCTTGCTTTTTATATTATTTATAAATGACATCTGTTCTTGCTTTTCTCTTGCTAATTTTCTTTTATATGCAGATGACTTGAAGATTTATTCAACTGTTAAGAATTCTTCTGACATGAAAAAGCTCCAATCCGAGTTGGATAACTTTTATTTGTGGTGCTTAAGATCTCATCTTTCATTAAATATTAACAAATGCTTTTACGTATCATTTTCAAAATCGCGAAATATATTAATAACTCGGTATAGTTTATCTGAGTGTTTCTGCAGTCAGTTAACGAAATCAAGGACCTTGGTGTTATCTTTGACAGCAAATTTTCATTTAGCAGCCATATTAATTTTATTATAACGAAAGCATATGCTATGCTTGGCCTTGTGCGGCGGAATAGCACTGAATTTTCCGATCCGTACACTTTAAAACTGCTATATACCTCTTTCGTACGTTCTCACCTGGAGTATTCAGCAATAATCTGGCGTCCGTTCCACCAGTTCCATATCAATAGGATTGAACGCGTTCGTGTTTCTCAAATTCGCCTTACGATCACTACGCTTTTCTGAGCCCATACCCTCATATAATGCGCGCTTATCGCTGCTCAATCTAAAATCATTAGATAAAAGAAGGTCAACATTGTCTCTAACTTTCATTTTTTGCATTATGACTGTCTTGTGACTGTCCGCAGCTTTTGGGTAGAATAAATTTTAATGTACCGAGGAGGTATCTGCGTGCTTCCCAGCCTTTTTATGCTGAAAATTGCGGAACGAATTATGCCTGTAATGTACCCATTGGCCGTGCAATTTGCGAATTTAACCAGATCTCAACTTCTATCGACCTTGATTTTTCTCTACCTAAGTAAATATTTATCAATATTCTTAATTTGATGCCCTAGTTTAAGCTTGATTGTTAAATAGTCTGTAAGAAATTATGCTTTCATAGACTGATTGTTAAATACATAAATAAAAACATTTTTTTTATATTTTTACGCAAATTTTTTAAGCTTAAACCGTTATTGAAGTTTTTCTTATACCAATCTTTGAAAAAAGTTAAAAACGGCATCAAAAATCTCGTTATTACGATTCCGTTCAAATTTTGTTTTCATTTTTTTTTTTAATATTTTTACGCAAATTTTTTAAGCTTAAACCGCTTTCTCATTTGAGGGAATTTTTTCAAAAAAAGTCTTTAAGAAACTATTTTTATTCATAAAAAACTCCATCTTTGGAGGTATTTTCAAATCGGTCCAGCTCACTTATATCTTAATATTTTTTCGAAATATTTTGGTGGACGTCTTAAATTATAATAGATTTTATAATTCCAATGGAAAAACAGTACCGATTTTTTTTGTATGGGGAGTGATGCAGTCTAATGTATATATATATATGGTACTCACGCACGGCCTTATGCAATTTCCTCACCCCTCGGCGAATACACGTGTAAAATTGGAAGGCTTACCTTATCTTGCAGCTTACTCTGTTGGCCACTAATGCGGCTGTTCTCCCGCGGTGGGCCACTTGTTGAGGGCTTTGTTGTTGCGAACTTGCTATCGCGGTGGACCACTTGGTGGGGGCCTTGCTGTTGCGAACTTGCTCTCGCGGTGGAGCACTTGGTGGGGGCCTTGTTTTTGCGAACTTGCTATCGCGGTGGACCACTTGGTGGGGGCCTTGTTGTTGCGAACTTGCTATCGCGGTGGACCACTTCGTGGGGGTCTTGCTGGTGCGAACTTGCTATCGCGGTGGACCACTTGGTGGGGGCCTTGTTGTATTTGTAGTTGCAGTTGCTGCTGCTGGAGCGCTGGCAAAAATTTATGGTTGCAGTTGCTGCTGCTTTGGCTGGAGCACTGGCAAATTTGTGGTTGCAGTTGCTGCTGATGGAGCACGGGCAATTTTATGCACTATATTTAAAAACCCTCTCTTTGTGTTCCGCTGCTTACTATACTTACTATTCCAATACTTATTTAACCGGTACTCTAGCTGTTGGGGTGTCCTTGCCCTGCAACTCTGCTGCTCCTGCTCCACGGAGTAGAATAAATTGCTCCAACCGAGTTTATGTCACTTACCTCGGATGTAGGGTATTTTCCTCGTGGCAATATATAGGAGCAATTCGATTGCCCGACGTGTTACCCTTGTTAAGCGTGTTAACGGGGGGCGCGATAAAAATTCTCTTTTTGAAGGCAACTTGGCACCTTATGAAAAATGTTTATTTCTTCGAAGTTTTATAACTTTTATTTTATTTTTAAGCAAATGTGGGTCAACCACGAAAAACTTCAAGCCGATCCGGCTCGAAGGA